GCATCGCACCGGTGAAAGACTAGTTTTGTTCAAAGACCATTTCGCCCTTGTTCAAATATCAGCACGTGTGGTGCATCAAAGACAAACTGCGCCATGTCTTTCTTCCATTCTTTTTTATTTTTGTCCACATAGAGTAATAGTAGTACATAGCATTATTTCGTTTTGTATACTTTGACAGAATTGCTTTCTGGGACTTGGACAAGCGAGGTTTATTATCTTAAGTTGAAGGAATGACGAACTACGATTTATAAAAATATGAAAAGCAAATAAAAACCAAAAGGCTGGTGAAGAAGATGATACATGCAATATTATGCCTCGTTTGGTTCAGTTTAAAAGAAAAAAAATGATTAAAATCTAAATAAAAATCAACAATTAATTTTAACCTCACATTTCGTGGGACCATAAGTTTATCAATTTTTCAACACGTATTTTATCGATTTTTATTAAAATTTACTAAAAATCTAATTTTTATATCAATATGAACTAGTTTTTTTTAGTAAATTTTGATAAAAATTAATGGGATGTAAGATTTAAAAGTTGATAAAAGATATATGGACCCACAAGCTAGAAAAATGAAAGAAAAAAAAAAAAATGGGATCACGGCTAGATTTGTCAATCATGCGAAAAAAGTTCTCTGAATTATATATGGACCCACAAGTTAGAAAATTTAAGGCCATGTTTGGAGTCCATTATTTCAAGACAAAAAAAAAAAAAAGAGTTTTGGACCAGTATTTTTAGGAGAATGTGATTAAAAAGTATAAAAAAAAATTTGGATTTTACATGTAAAGGGGGTGTTTGACGGGATTAAAATTAGATTTTTAATGAATTGAGATAGAAGTTTTAGAAATGTGTGATTAAAAAGATGTGGGACCATGAAAAACGTGGCTACTATTGATTTTTGACTTTAACATATTTTAATCAGCCCAAACATGCTCTAAAGAATTAAGCTTGTTATACATTATTGCGGGTCAAAATTTGAGTGTATAAAGGATTGTCGAAATCAATGTATAAAACTTGATGAAAATCAAAACATCCACCTCAAACGGTGATTTCCAGTTTATTTAATACCCCCATCCTCGCATTTCACATCTTATCTTATCGATAAGAGTTGATACGATATTCACCATGAGTACTAAAATATGTGTATTGATGTTGCGTGCACTTCTTCTTCTTCTTCTTCTCAACGATGCTGCAGTATCACAGTCCATTGTCAAGACTCTTCCGGGTTATTC